CACAGTGTGCGCGAGTCAACATTTTTTCTATAGCAGTTTCAACAGCCTCCCCTTTTGTCTTTTTATTTTCTTTGAATTTTTCATGATCGGTGGTAGCTCACACTCTCACTTATTGTCTTTAAGCCGACATACACAGTGACCAGAAGTAATCCCCAGTCTGTTAACAACTAAATGGAGAACAAAAATCACATTATGGCATACTACATTGCGGAAAAAATGAACAAGGCTGCGAGGCTCTGAAAATGAATGAGGGAAACTGTCACGAACACAACAATGGCATCATAAAGGGGGTGGACTGGGGAAGGGGTGGTTGGGTAATAGGTTCATAGCAACACGGTGCGTAAAACAAAAAAAACAAACCAATTAACATGTGAGGAAGGTAAGAAAACGCACTAATGCAGTGGTTTTCTATTCCTGCACTACTCGCCTGAGAGATCACTACGTATTCTTGTGCAGGACGAGTTACCCTACTTTGTCAAACTGGCTGCATTTCAGAACCAGACTATTCGGGAATGGCTTTCGCCCGGCTTTTAAAAGACCTTCCTGTCGGTGATGTTACCTACAAATACTTCGATCTTACTGCACTGAACGACAGCAGATACGGTTAGCATTTTTTTTAATCTTGCTGTTTTTGATTTTTTAACAGTGCTACGCCTAACGTGGGAAAATAGTCCTGCAACACTTCAACCAATTCCCCTGCTCAACGCGTTGGACGCGTAGAACTACACAACTATGTACCCGTGGATTGACCCCGTTCAGGTTGCCTTCATTCCACAGTACACTCATAGTCTCGGTTATTAGGAAATATACCATTTTTACTTTGAATTCACCCTTTTTCAAACCAAATTCGTCCCTTTTAAACCAAATTCGTCCCTTTTCAAACCAAATTCACCCTCACTTTTCATCAAGTTAACCACACTTATTAGGGCGGGCAACTCATCAACCAGATCACGCCAGACATCACTGCGAGCCCCGCCCCGACGCTTGAGTAGATTTGAGAATCTATGTCCGCGCTGACGCCCACTTGTCAGCGCGGACATAGATTCTCAAATCTTGTTTCATGACTTCTGCTTTTGCTGTTTCCCACAAACACTCTGACTGGAAACGACCGGGCATTGACACATGGCCGACTCCGCCCATTCTCTAAAGGGTTTGGCAATCTAGGCTGACCACGCCCACTTTCTTTTCGCGGACTTTCGTATTTTTTTCAAAATTTTTGCATTTTTGGACTGCTCCATGGAGCCCCGCCCACTGCGAGAGGTTTCGCCCACTTTGGAGAAGCCCCGCCCACTTTTCAAAAATGGTTCAAATCGGCAGTATGGAGCCTTGGCTTGCATGCTAGGGTCTCGTTCGTCACTCGGCACAGGAAAATCCGACAAAGTTTATTCGTAATGATCTGCAATAACCTAGCCATACAAAGTGCGGCCAGCCTCTCCAACAGTGGGCGGGGTACATGGGAGCAAGTCCGAAATGCCCAATTTTGAAAAAGTGCTGCGAAAAAGGAAAGGGGCGTTGGTCAGCCTCAGATTTGCCAAACCACTTTAGAGAATGGGCGGAGTCAGCCATGTTTCAATGCCCGGTCGTTTTGCAGTCAAGTGTTTGTGGGAAACAGCAAAAGCAGAAGTTATGAAACAAGATTTGAGAATCTATGTCCGCGCTGACAAGTGGGCGTGGCCGTCGGGGCGGGGCTCGCAGTGATGTCTGGCGCAATCTGCGTTGATGAGTTGCCCGCCCTAATAAGTGTGGTTGATTTCTGATGTGCGACAAGTGGGGTGAGGTTCTTGGTTGTGAAAAGGGGGAATTTGGTCTGAAAAACTGGTGAATTTGGTTGGAAAACGTGAAATTGGGTTGCTGTAACGGGTAATTCAAAGTGAAATGGGTATACGTTTCCCCTGCAATTTCCTAAGTATCGCCCATTTTCCGATGGTGTGATTTTAGATTTTTTTTCTTCAATCTGCAATGGAGCTTCAAAATGGAAGAGCTCCCAAACGAGCGTAGTGGATAGTAATAAACCAGGCTGCACAGCGTAAACCGGGCTCACGATCTCGACTGGATCTCTCAGGGAGAGAGCTGTCTGGCTTGGCGGAAGAACATATGCAAGAAAGGTCTAATGTGTTGCTGGTAGGGCTCGGAATGTTCGCTACTGGATGGCGCAGCAGTGACGACTGACATAGTCTACTGTAACTGGCTTCAAAATATGGCGGACGTCATATGTGAACTCCACTCGAAAAGGCTGAATATACTCCTTCTCCAGCACAGCGTCCGCAAGTGCCAAAGATGGAGTAAAAAAATTGTGGGTCTCGTTTGGGTGCTAAAGATGGGGTAAAAAAATTACGGGTTTTGTTTGGGATCTGTCATGCTCATGGTCAGCTTCGCTACCAGCCTCAGCAGCTTCTGAGTACCATCTACTTACGGCGCCAACGCATCACGTGGAATCAGTACGGTGTTGTGTAGTTATGAGTGGAGAGGGAGTGTCCGCCTCTTGGGGTGTATCGGGGGGGGGGCAAAAAAAGACGCTTCGGCCGAGTCACATATCAGCAAAGTTTTCGCAGCCCAGACAGAGGACGTGGATACGAGTACCAGGGATACCCAAGATGTTCCTCGATAAGCAGGAGCTGGCTCTCGCCCATCACCTTCATGTACACCAAAATATGAAGTCATCTCCAGTCGCAGCCTGACTGGAGAAGACCTTTGGAATTCATGTCACCTCCAAACAGCTGCGAAACTTCTAGTATGGAGTCACCCATGGATAGCTACCTGGAGACCAGTACTCTTGATCTGGAAGACCTCCAACATCGTCGCTACGGTTCAGGATATCATCTTCATCCAGTCGCCAAGGCGCGGGTTGATGGTATGGACCGGAAGTACCTGGAATGGAAAGACCGATATTTTCTTCGTGGACCCCGGACTGAAGGTGAGCGCTGGCGGTTACATCGAGCAACTCGAGAAGAATATCCTCCCTTCATGTCGTCGCCCGTACCATCTTGGAAACTTTGTACTGCTACAGGATTGGGTGCCACCACATGGAATCGAAGGGCGTTGGAAAAACTCTGCCTACTTGGAATGGAAGGGCGTTGAGTACCTGAAGAAGGAATATCTAAGTGTGTCACCTGACCTAGACCTCTCGACAGGGTCCGAGCAGAGCTCAACAGGGTGGTCTACAGTGGCGGAGAAATCAACGACCTCGCCGAACCCAGAGACCGAATCACGGTCACGTGGCAAAATCTCTCGGTGGCACACTCGTCGAAAGCTGGATGGCGGAGTATCATGATCGTGTCAAGTGCATGTTGAATATGAGGTGGTGGAAACTGAGCCAAGTCAGATTTGAGTAAAGCTGTAACTTAAATCGCTCTTGAAGTTGAGGAAAAAGAAAAGTGTCTTTTTTGCCCCCCGCATATAATGTAAAGCGGGCTATCGTTATCGGCGAGCTCCATATAGGGGCACGCACTGGTGGGGATCATTTCCTGAAAAATAACGACCCCCCCCCTATATCTTCTTCAAGTTGTACGACCCCTCCGAGGGGGAGGGGGAGGGAGTCGCAGTACCACGTACGTCCAGCACGTTCGGCTACTTCTGGCGCTGAGTGTAGATAAACATGCAATAGTACGAGGAAGGGACGATGATAGGAGCTACAATCACCGCCCACAAGGGCACCATGAATTTATAATTAAGCAAAAGGACTCACGACGTGACGATTAATAAACCGATGAAAGTACATTCCCGGACTTTTCTGATCGTAGGAGCACATTTGCTTGCAATTGGGAAGCCCTATCTAGAAGTTACACCTTCCAAACACCTGCGTGAAAGCCCCATGCATGGCGCATTGCAGAGGTGATGCCAATTGGCGCCCAATGGCCTATTTTGATTACCTTTTTGCGAAAACATGCTGCTTAGAAGCATACCAAAGTCATCAAGCCAACCGGAGGTTTCATGGCCTCGGAGGGGTTGATTTTTCGGTGTCGTGGGGGTGATTACAAAATGATCACAACGGGGAATTTTTTCGAATAGTAGGTCTAGGAAGGAAATTAAAACCTTGCTGGAAAGTAGAAATCTTCAAGCTTCCGGCACAGTTCTTTTTTTACGAAAGGTCGTGTATGAAGCTTGCCATGGACGTCCAAAGCGTAGCGACTCGCGGTTCGCAAAAATGATCACAGATGGATCACAGAATGATCACAACGGGGAAAATCTCTGGAATCGGAACGTTTTTGAAATCGCTCAATTCAGGTGACAAGAGCCAACCTAGCTCTACTCATTCCCGTTTACCCCTTCGATAGCGTCATTTCGACGAAGTTATATGGGGTGTTCAATGAGGAGCGGAACTTTTCAGTGTTTGGCTGGGAGAATTGGCTCAAACCGTGAAAATAAGCGCGCACCAATGAGCTTGTATGAGCGCGCTGACCGCGAACAGCCAAAATTCAAAAGTAATCCATAGTTCCGGTTCCCAGCTGGCCTGGTGAGTTTTTTTTCTTATCTTATTCTTTTTCTTATTTGATTGTGAGTTATTTGATTCGTTTGTTTTTGTTGAGTTTGGTTTGGTTTTGCGAGGAAATTGCTCAGGATTCAATTTCTACGCTTTCATAGGTAGCTTTTGCAATGGATTCTTTTCTAGATTTTGCGGATTAGTGGATTGGGATTTATCTAGACCAGATGAGGAGGGTTGGTGGGCGAAGTGTCTTGAGGTTTTTTTGTGAGGAAGGTGGAAAAAGTTTCAGCAATATTTTTTTAATTCTTGACTTATTGTTAGGAATAGTTCGATAGTGCCTAGTTCTATTTATTGTCATCTACATCGTCCCTTTTAAGCTTCTTTTCACTTGTACCGTGTATCACCGCTCTCTCCACTTCAACATGGGCCATGCGTTTACGACCCCCCCCCCTCGATCGCGGGCAAATACGACCCCCTGTTGTGATGATCACAAAGATGGCGTGCCCTGGTTCCAAGAATTGCGTTTCTCGTGACATCCAGTGGATGCTGCAGCTTTAGTATTGTTTCTCGAAGGCGGATGCGCCGACAAAAAGGCTTAGGTATTCCTCAATAGATTTCTTGATGACAGATATTTGATACTATTTGATAGGATGGAACCCATGCTGAAGTGGAATCTGTACAGTGAGAAAGAGAAGCATTAGCATTGGTCGCATGCTTTTCACGTATAGTGTAATTCGCTGCGGACGGTTGGGCGTGTCAGGCGATGAGTTTGGCGCGGTGCCAAACCCGTTCTCCACCAGTTGTTAAAGCGAGCAAATGATATGACTGTATCATATCGTTCGTATTACTCGTTTTCTACCACTTTTTGTCGCATGCGCGCTTCAACAAGAAGGCAGAGAACGGCTTTGACGGGTGACACACTCATACTGCCTGACACGCCCAACCGTCCGCAGCGAACTAGATTGGATAAATCGGGTATCACCAGCCTGACTCATGCAAACGGAAGCAGACTTCCAGGTACCACTGGTACAAGATAGGCCGGCTATGTAGCTGTTTTTCTATCATGGAAATGTAGGTAAAACTGGTGCTAATCACTGACCCGTAGCCTCTCCACGGCCTAGCCAAGTGGAACAGTCGAAGTACTCTTTGACAAGTGCCATTGTCTGGTTGGTCGATAGACCATACATGTCTTTGGTTGTGTTTTGTGAGCAATCTGGAGGTGCAGTAGAGGTGCTTCCTTTTTTGGGAAACGCAGTGGAAGTTGAAGAAAAATTGACGATTCCCGTTCTGAATCGGACATGGGGAAACTGACTTGTATCAGAAATAACAAAGAGAGAAAAACCATAATGACAATGCTGAGAGCGAGCAAACATAGAAGAACCAGAACTAGCGGTTTTTTGCCATCCTGTATATGATTTTTGCTTCAAGAGAAATTGCCCTTCTCCATTCGATACCTGCTGGAGGCTGCTGTTCGCCATTGCGATGGTTTCCACGTTCTGGAGTCTGATATTGAAACAATTCTCAACTGGAATGAAAGCCAGCACCAACAAGCTGAAATACCTTTTAGACCAGCTCGAGTTCTTCTTCAGGATTTCACGTGAGTAGATGTAGTCGAGTACTTATCCCCAGTTGAAATATCATGGATCTATCTTCGCTTAAGGGGTGTTCCCGCTGTTGTCGATCTGGCCACCATGAGGGACGCAGTTCAAGAGCTCGGTGGAGATCCTTCAAGAGTGAATCCTATTTGTCCTGTTGATCTGGTTATTGATCATTCTGTGCAAGTGGACAGCTATGGAAGGTAGGTTGAAGTTGAGCTATCAATTTCGCAATGACATGAAGTGAACGTCTATGATCATTTGCGCATGCTAATGGTACAGTTTTGCTGTGCACTCATACTACGTATTGTAGCCTGGATGCCCTGGCAAAGAATCAAAGCATGGAGTTCGAGAGGAACAAGGAGAGATTCAATTTCTTGAAGGTCATTTAATAGATCTATTCAGAGTCTATTTAGAGTCATGCCTCACAGTATTTTTCAGATTCTCACTTAGAG